GTAGTCGTAGTCGTAGTCGTAGTCGTAGTCGTAGTCGTAGTCGTAGTCGTAGTCGGAGTCGGAGTCGGAGTCGGAGTCGGAGTCGGAGTCGGAGTCGTAGTCGTAGTCGTAGTCGTAGTCGTAGTAGTAGTAGTAGTAGTAGTAGTAGTAGTAGTAGTAGTAGTAGTAGTAGTAGTAGTAGTAGTAGCCTTGTAGCCTTGTAGTCGTAGTCGTAGTCGTAGTAGTCGTAGTACGAGGAGGAGGAGGACGAGGAGGAGGAGGAGGAGGAAGAGGAGGAAATGAAGGACAAGACAATAGAGGAGGAGGAGGAGGAGGAGGAGGAGGAGGAGGAGGAGGAGGAGGAGGAGGAGGAGGAGGAGGAGGAGGAGGATGAGGAGGAGGAGGAGGAGAGGACGATAGCGGGCGAGGTCGAGGAGGATGAATAGGAGGAGGAGGAATGGCAGGGGCGACGAGGATTTGCGTTCCGCCGAGGCTGGGGCGTGATGCTGAACGACGGCCCTGGCGGCGGCCTCACCAACTCGAAGCGCCAGCCCGACTTCGCAGTGCAGGCTCGCATGGTGGTCCCCTCTCATGCTGGTCGGCGTCTGCAACCCGTCTTTCCGGCGAGTCAGGGGGAACGTTTGGGGCGGATGTGCGCTCAGGGGGGACGTACCGACCCCCAAGCCATTGAGGGAGGAGGAGGAGGAGGATGAGGAGGAGGAGGAGGAGAGGACGATAGCGGGCGAGGTCGAGGAGGATGAATAGGAGGAGGAGGAATGGCAGGGGCGACGAGGATTTGCGTTCCGCCGAGGCTGGGGCGTGATGCTGAACGACGGCCCTGGCGGCGGCCTCACCAACTCGAAGCGCCAGCCCGACTTCGCAGTGCAGGCTCGCATGGTGGTCCCCTCTCATGCTGGTCGGCGTCTGCAACCCGTCTTTCCGGCGAGTCAGGGGGAACGTTTGGGGCGGATGTGCGCTCAGGGGGGACGTACCGACCCCCAAGCCATTCATCGCCGATAGGGGCCGGGAAGCCCAACCCTTCCATGAGCTTTCGGGATTTGCTATCGGGGCCTATCGCCGATCTATCGGTGATGTATCGCTTAATCCAAGTCAATGTTCCCCCCCTAAGGTTGCCCTCAGCCAGTGACTCATGGGTATCGATGTTTGAGTTTGAGGTTTTGGGACGCTGGTGACTCTTTCTCGACATCTGGAGGCTTCGGGAGCGTCAGGGGGCTCCGGGGAGAGTCAAGGACGTCTGGAGGTCTCCTCCCTGCGAGGGGTTGAGGGGATTTAGGATCGAGGTTCGAGGGTCGTGGTTTTCATTCGGTTTTAATTATTGTTAGGCCTCTGGAGGCTTCGGAGGTCTCTGGTGGCCTTTGGGGCTCTGGGGCCAACCACGGTCCCCCCCACGGTCTCCCTCTTTTGGGGGGCGTCTCGGGGCCATCTTGGGATGCTGTGCTCTTTTGAGGCCGTTTTTGGGCCCTTTTGGGTCGTCTTGGAGCTCTCTGGACCTTTCTGGGCGCCTTTGGTGCCCGCGGGGTCTCGGCCGCTCGGAAGACCGAGGAGCCTAGCGCCCCACAATCGTTCCACAGAACCACTTGGAGCTCGCTGGTCGTCTGCGACCGGAGGGTTCCTTTGTGGTCTTCTTTTGGTGGTCTTCGGGCATCTAGGGAGTGGGATGGCTTGTGACCCTAAGGACGGTGCAGGAACAACAGCGGGCGCGCGGACGAGCAGCTCCCCGATTTGGGGCTGCAAGCAAAGTGCAGAACTGGCCCTGTCGGGTCGCCGCCAAATGCAGCGACTGGGCAAGGCGAATCGGGTCCGCCTCAGTTGTTGGTACTGCTAGGCTGGCAGGCTTCGCGCACAGCGGCGTCTAGCAGCCTCAGTGCATCAGCCGCATGTGCACGCAGCGCAGCGGTGTTGTCTCGGACTTGACCAGCCAGAGCAGCTCGCATCAGGAGCTTCATATGCTCTAGCTGGTCCACGGCGTCCTCGGTTCCTGTGGTACCTGGCGCCAGGACTCGGAGTGAAGCACGATCGGCGCCGTCTTCGACGAGTGTATCCACGTCCATCGTCGTAACAGCAGGTGCCCCCTCATGCTCGATCATGCCATCCACGTGTCCCGCGTGCGCGTCCTTGACGTCGCCCACGACCTCGAGCCCGTTGTACTCCGACGTGGCTCCTAACTCATTGATCATGTAGCTGGCTCAGCCTTCATGCCCGAAACAAACATAAGCTTCATCTGCTCCTCCGGCTTCAAAGGACGTGGCGCCGGGCTTCCAATCCGCTGGCGCGCCCTTGGCGCTGCCCACGGCGCCGCTTAGCCTTGACTCCCCAGGCACAGTAGCCGGCTGCGCCTCGGCAAAAGAGATTTCCTACCGCAGTAGCTTCCCTTGCACCGCCTCCCGCAGCTGGGTGCTGGAATGGGGGAGGCCCTGCCGTTGGTTCCCCCGCCGCCTCCCCGCCACTGCCACCCACTACAAGGCTGGCGAAAAGAGGAAGAGCGACGGCCTCCAGGGCGGCGACTCTCCCGGAGGCGGCGGATGGCATCCCCACATGCCGAATCCACCAACCCCATAGGGATGACCCCCCAGGGCAGCCAGCCACCTCACCAGACCCACTGACCCTCTCTTGGGCCTGCCGCCGCGCCCTCCTCCACCCGTCCTCTGCCTCCCACGGCAGGGCTCGAGGGCGGGGGCGCGGTGGCCGTATCCACCTCCGCAGTCCCCTGGGAGATGCCAACCTCGTTGAACGCCCCCTCGAAGTCGTGCTCCATGTCGGCATCGTCCTCGATGTTCGTGGCGTGCGGCTTCGGCATCTCGGGCGCCACCTCCTGAACGGGGAAGTGGGGCGCCTCCCCGGGCCCATCCGCGGAATCGAGGAGCTTGAAGTCCTCGGCCGCTGGCTGGCCCTCCGAGGACTCGGCGTGGGGGTGCCTACCACAGCCTCCCCCTCTGGGAAGCGCATCGCCTCCTTGAGCGTGATACCCGGCAGCTCTTCCTCCTGGCGGTGGCGGTTGCGCTGCTTGCCGCCCCGCTGCGGGCTCCCGCTCCGAGAACGCTGCACCGGGCTTGGCGGCTCTTGCCGGTCCAGCCGCAACGGTCGCTGTGACAGCTCCTCTGGATCTACAGGCCGGCAGGACATTGCCCCTGCTTCATGCGGACCTCCACCGTTGCCGTCTTCGGCGCGGGCATCCCGGCCTTGCGCCACGGCGGCTGGGGCGCGGGGGATGGCGGAGGGGCCCCGCCGTCCGCCGTCATGCACCCGAGGCACGGGCTCCGGTGCCCCACTTGCTGCTCCGGCTCCAGCTGCGCCGGCTGGCTCGCTTCCCGCCGCACTGGCCTCGGCGGCCTCGGCTCCTGCTGCCCAACCGGCTCCTGGTGGGCATGGGGAGGAGGCGGCTCCCGGGTGCTGCCAGTGGCCTCGACCGCCTTGGCGACCTCGCCCAGCTCCTCGGCCTCCTGCGGCTCCTCCTTCAGGCTCTCCTGGCCGACTCGTGTTGCCGCCGTCGGCGCGTGGCGTGCCACGCTCTCTTCAGCGCAGCCCCTGCGACCTGTAGTCGTTCTGCTCGCAGGGCTGCCGCCACGGCCCGCTGCGGCGTCCACCAGCGCCAGGATCCCGGCCGGCGCCTCCCATAGCCTGGGCGGCCTGTCGCCGGGCATATGGGGGGGTTCATGGTTGCTGCATCGCAAAGGTTGCGCGCGCCGCCCACCTCCCCAACCAGCGCGCTCGTCGCCTGACGGTGCTTGGATCGCCTGGCAGCTTTTGGGCGTCTTGGCGGCGGGGGGAGTGCTTGGGGCTCTCCAGGGCCGTCTGGCCGCCCTCCTGACCGCTCTGGGCCCACTCGCTAGGCCCAGCAGGCACGTCCAGGAGGCCCAGAAGGCAGAGGGAACGCGAAAGTCGTTCCCCCGGGGTGCGGTCCCTTGCCAAGTATCGCATATGAGCAGGACAATGTTTCAGCCCTCCTGGAAGGTCAGAGCAGGAGCCGGCGGTTGAAGACTCGCGCGCAGCCGATTCCGGCCTCACCGCCAGGAAGCACTCTGCTCGGTGCACGCTCGTGCCTGGAGCGTCGAGGCGCCAGCAAAACCAGCCTATTCGCGCCTCCCCCCTCTACCGATCAACGGCACGGAAGCGGGTACTCACCAGCGGGTACTTCAGAAACCGTCCCGGAGTTGCGACTTTGGGGCCCTTCCCAGGCACTGCAATGCTGCCCGCATCGACGAAACCAGTCTCAGCACTATGTGACAATTTGTTTTTGCACCTAGATGTTGCCGCGTCAAAGCAAGGGGAGGGTGGATTCGCAGGGTCGCCGGCCAAAGTGCCCGTTCATGGAGTCGCCGTCGGGGGGCGGGGGTTGCTGACTTTGCCGACATCTCCCTCTGGTCCAACCTCTCGCTCCGCCTACTCCGCCGCCCTCCTTCCCCTCCGCCCTCCCCTCCCCCTCCTCCCCCTCTCTCATTATCCTCCTTGTCCTTCTCCTCCTCCCCCTTCATTCCCTTCTTCCCCTGGTGCTCGCCCTCCCCCCTCCCCCGCCTCCTCCCCGTCCTCAGAATGTTATCTGTCCTCGTCCCTCTTTTCCTTCTACCCCTCCCGACCCGTCCGTTAGACTCCGCCCGCTCGCTTGCTTGCAAGCCCGCCTGGCCGCCCGCGAATGCAACCGTCGGCGAGAACGACCGCGTGCGAAGGCAGCCCCAGACCAGCGAAGCCGACAGCCAGCGAAGATGGCCGCCGGCGAAAACGACCCTCCTCCTCCTCCTCCTCCTCCTCCTCCTCCTCCTGTTCCTGTTCCTCCTCCTCCTCCTCCTCCTCCTCCTCCTCCTGTTCATCCTCCTTCTCCTCCTCCTCCTCCTCCTCCTCCTCCTCCTCCTCCTCCTCCTACGGGGAGGGGACGGAGAACTCTGCGCAGACGCAGGTGGCAAGCGAGTGCCCCCTCCCTCCCCCTCCCCTACGCCACAGGTGCTGAGGCCTGAGCCTGGGCGCTGCCTCCTCCTGGTGGCTCCGCCGCTGCGGATCTTCAACTACACCGACCGGTGCCCCATTGCTGGCCGCTCCCGCCCGCCAGCAGCGGGAGGAGCAGGAGGTGGAGGAGGAGGAGGATGAGGAGGAGGAGGAGGAGGAGGAGGAGGAGGAGGAGGAGGAGGAGGAGGAGGAGAAGGAGGTGTAGGGCGGGGGAAGGGTAGGGAGGATGAGGTGGATTTGGATGAGAAGGGGCCCATCCTTCGGGCTCCCGAAAGCGGCGTGGTCTGTCGACAGACGCTGCCTCCAGCTGGCCCTCGATGAGCAGGCTCGCGTCGGCGCCGAGGCGGCGGCGCGTGGCCGCCAGTCGCTGGCGCCCGGCGGCGGCGGCGAGCGCAGGGGCGGCTGGAATGGCGACAAGTGCTAGTTTTATTTGGGCTAGGGCAAGGGCGCAAATGAGTGCGACTCAAAGGGCGCCCGCAAGAAGCGCCCGCGCGACGATGGAAAGCGCGACGACAGGCTGCCGCGGACCCCGAAGCGCGCCTAGCGTGCGCCAGCGCCGCGCGGCGCGAGTCCCTGGTGCTTGAAATCGGAGGCGCGCGCGCTTTCGGTCTGCGCGTGCGTCCGGGCGGGCCACCTTCGCGAGTGGCGTGCGCAGACACTTGGTGGCCCGAGGGCCTCGTCGGCGACCGCGCCAGTTCGTGCGTCCAGCGAGGCGCGGCCCCTCCGCATGGGCAGCCGCGCGCGCGCGCGAACACGGGCGCTCGCGACGAGCGGCAGGCGCTTCCGCCGCGCGACATGCCGCGAGCGCGGGTCTTCCCGCGCGGCAGCTCTCATCTTGCGCAATTTAAGAGGCGCGCGCCTCCGACGCGCTGGGCTCCGCAACGCGCGGCGCGCGCGCAGTCCCGGGCCTCGCTGCGGGGCGTCCCGGAGCCGCCGCGCCGGGCTGGCGCGGCGGAGTCGTTGCCCGATCGCAGGACGCGGCTACCCTCGACGGCGCGACGCGCGCGGTTTTCCCCGCGCCAGATGCGCCTGCATTCGTGACACCCACGGCGCGTTTGCCGCGGCGTAACGCTCGGGCGCCAGGGGGGGGGTGCCGCGCGACCTGCAGGTATCCGACATTAATTCGCGCTCGCTCCCGCCAGCGTGGGACTTGCACCCGCTCGCTAGCCGCGGCGAAGCGGTCGCGGCGCTCGGGGAAACCGCCAAATTTGATTTCGCCCGCGACGCGATGCCAGCTTCTTTGAGCAACCCGTTGTGCTCGACGCGTCCGTTCAAGAGCCGTCGCGTGGTCGGCCGCGACGCCGCCGCGCGTTAAACCGCGCGAGCGGCGAGCGGGGGCGCGCGCCGGAACAGCTAGCGCGCCCAGCTCAGCAATTGGTGGCCTCGGGCCGCGTCGAGGCTTGGTTCGATGGGGGCCAATGACACCGCGCGGCGCGTCGCCGCCACGGTCAACGGCCCTCTGTGCGAGGCTCTCGCTTCTGAGTTGCAGCATCGCGAGCCCGAGTGCGTCAATTTGTTCTGCGAGGGATCGCGAATCTCGGGCGATCTGCCCGCTCCCGGGCACGGGCGCGCGAATCCGCCCAAGACGAATGGGTATGAGGGCTTGAGGGCGCTTCTGGGATTGGCGCTGGACTGCAGCGCCGCGTTGCTCGCGTCTCTCAAACCCGACGCGCGCGCCGATGCGATTTTTTAGCAGGCGCTGGCCGAGTCGCGCACGGGGCGCATCTCAGAGCCAGTACTTGCGAGCAGCATCGATCTCTCGCGCATCATCTCGCCCCCGCGCCTCGCTGTCGAGCAGCAGCGCCCCGGGGGCAATGTCAAGCTGCGCCGGGTCGACGATCCGTCCAGGAGCGGCATTGATGCGACGCGCCTCCGTGTCGAGAAGATGCGCGCTGAGGGAGTCGATCACCTGTTCGCAGTCGCGCAGTTCTTTCACCGGGCGTCGGGCAGAGTGCCCGCGCTGGTCAATGCCGATATCGACGCGGCGTGCAGGCGCGTCCCACTGGCCACTGGCGGCGGCCTGGGTTATTGTCTTCGGACGTCGCGTTCGCGGCTCGCCATCGCGCCATCCCGTTCGGCGGCGAGGGCTCGGTGCACGGCCGGGCAGAGCCGGGCAGGTTCTCGGAATTCGGTGCACGTTGCCTTTTATTTACCCGACCCTACGGTATGTAGACGGCCATTTCAGTCCCGAGCTCTCGGGGCGCGCGCGGCCCGCGGTGGAGTCGCTGGCGCGGCTCGTGCGCATCCTTCTCGGTGTAAGCGCGGTCGCCGAGGCGAAGTTGGATCGCGGTGGCCCGTATCCGGTGCCGGGGGTCAGCGTTTCGATGGATGCGTCGGGCATGTGCGCCCTTCTGTTCGAAAAGCGGGAGGGGTGGCGCGCGCGGGTCGTCGCGGCCTACTGACGCTGCCTTGATGCTGAGCCCCTGGTGTCGTACCTGCTTGCGTATCTCGTGAGTCATGGCCATGTCGTAACTGATGATCGCGCTCTTATCTGCCATCTCCAGACCTTGCTCGCTGAGGCATTGCGCATAGGTAGTGGCGGCGAGGATGGTATTGTCGGTGACGTGTTTCTTGCTGCCAATCGTTCTGAGCTCCGCGTCGTCGAACCAAGCCCGCGAGGCCACTGCTGGGATCTTGGCAGTGTAGGCGATGGAGAATCTGGTGCATGACTGCTCGTGCCAGCTTGTTCGCGTGGCGTGGCCCCGCAAACGTGGATCTGGATGGTAGTATTGGGTTGCCTTACGTGGAGGCTTGGCGTAGGAACCGCGTGCATGTGTGCAGCTGTAGCTCGAGCGCTAAGTTGCGTGGAGGGAGCCGCAGGTGTCTGGCGGCGTACACAGCTTGCATCATGTCCAGCGTGTCATAGACACTACGGATGGCTGCGAGCGTTGATGCGTGTGCCAATTGCAGCGCGTCGCAGATCTCGTCGCCCAAAATGCGAGCTGCGGCCTCTCGTAGACAACTGCTGCCCGCCAATGCCGCGTCCCAATGCCGTCCTGCAACGCGAACCCACTTGTCCACTGTAGGTCTAGTGAGCTTCTCCCACGCGCGGCATATTTGTGGTAATAGGCACAGTACTCTGTCGCCCTCGGCCTTCGGGTGGAGCATGATGATGGTGCTCTGTAGTTGCCATTGCCATGCGAGCTCCCTCTCGCAGCTGTTGAACAGGTCGACCAGTTGCTGTCGCCCCGCCTGCGGGAGTCGTCGCATGTCGGAGCTCGTCGTTTTGTCGGTGCCCTTGCCCTTGTCGGGGGAGCGGCGCAGCGAGAAGTCCAAATCCTCGAGGGACCAGCGTGTTGCTAGGGCTGCTCTGGCGGTATCCTTGACGTCGTTGATGATTGCAGCGTAGTCCTGGTGGGTGAGCGAAGGATGTGACCGCAGCTCTCGAAACTCTTCTGTCTTGGCGTCGATTGTAGTCTTGGGGCAGCACGCCTTCCCTCGGACGTGAACGTACTCGTCCTCGTGGCGTGCTTGTGGCTTGGTTAGCCTGTGAAGCTTGCCAGGCTTGGCCTTGGTGGTGTCGGTGAGCCAGATCATGACATTGCGTGGTCGTGCTCGCATGTCGGACTTCGAGGCCTTTTTGTCTTCGTTCTCTGCTTGTATCAGCATGCCCTGTAGTATGTCCAAACTGAGGGTATGCAGTTGTCGTAGCGCCCCGCAGTTTGCGGTGTAGAATGGCTGTGGGGTTGAGTCGTGCCCCATCCAGTGATGCTTCCCTCGTACGCCAGCTGTCGTGCTGTAACTTCGAGTTGGTGTTGCAGTCTTGGTCCGTGTCCTCTCTGGCGTAGGGTGAGGTCGGCTCGCAAAGTGGTTGCTAGCTGACCCCGCCAGTCGGACTGCTTATTGTTGAAGTGTGTGCGCCTGGTTCGTGGTGTGGCCTTCGCTGATATTAGCTTGCGTGCGCCGCCTCTCCCTGCGTGCCGATGTCGGCCCTGAGGTTGGATGGCGTACGCAGCGCAGTAGAAGTGCTCCAGAGTGCCCACGAATCTGCCGTACTCCTGGCCAAGGGCCTTGGCCGCGCTGGGGTCTGCGATGTAGGCGGCCCCTTGCTTGATGTAGGCTGGCGGCTTCACGTATTCGCGCCGAGGATGTGCGAGCATCTGCGAGACCTGCCACAGGTCGTCCAGGGCGCGCGTGTCCACGAAGTTCGTGGAATGCAAGCCTGGGAGGGGGGGCTCCTGAGACGGCGTACTGTCCACCTTCTCAGGTGCGCTCGATGGTGGGCCCTGCTCGTGGTCTGCCCACTGGTCGAAGTAGTCGCCGGGCGGCTCCTCGGGTGGTCCATGTTGGGGTCCATGTTGTCCTCGATGTCGATTTCGTTCATCGGGTCATCGTCGTGGTTGTTCATGTTGCTTGTCCTTGTCAGAGATGGCGGGCCCTGCGCGGATGTGCCGAGCTCTGTCCATCTCGTGTTCATCTCGTTAGTGAGGTGCTCGTAGTACAAGGTGTCGTAGTACGTTAGTGCTGTGTTGGCGTTGGCCTCCTAGGCCCTTTGCAAGTCGCTCTTGTTTATGTTGCTGTCGCTTGCTGTCGGGGTTGGGCGGCTTGTGTGGTTGCGGTGTGTGTGTGTGTGAAGTGGGCAGGTAGCTGTAGCTGCCAGATGGTGACAGGCTTTGCCGCTCCACTTCGTCTCAGCGTTTGTCCAACGTGGGTCTTCCATGGGGCCGCGGTGGTCTCCAAGCCGATGAAGTACGTGCGGGCCTCGTGGCTGACCGGCGCGTAGTCGATGAAGGATGATGAGGTGGTGCCCTTTTCACTGTTGTGTGTAGCAGGTATAGCCGTCTGGTATGGTGGCGATGTCCGCGCCCATAGCCTGTGGCCAAGCTGATGCCCAAAGTCGCTCTGGTGGCGCGTTCCAATCCCCTGCTGCGATCCAAGGGTGCTGGCAGCTCGTCACAAACGATGCCGCTGTATTGAGCTTGGTGGCATTGATCCCGTTGAGGCTGCCCAATGCGTCTAGGTAGACGCTGGTCACCAGTAGGCGGAAGCCGCGGAGGTGCCAGCACATGGGAGTCCAGTCCAGAAAATGGTGTTGGGGGCTGCCTGCCTGCTCGCGGTAGCACTCGCTCTG